ATAGAATTTACGGTTACATCTATCTAATCAAGCTGTAAATTGATGAGATCTCGGCACCATTTAAGTACTACGCTTAATTTTAAAAAGTTTGCGTTTTTGTTGAGATGTTGGGAGTGTTCCCGCGTGTGTGTATTCAAATAAAGACAAACACAGATGTAGGGAAAAATACTGGTATATTTGAAGAGGTATTTAACAACAGAGTCATTAGTAATAACGAACGCAGGTTAGTAATAACAATCAGCAAGAGTCTACATTCCAACGGTAACTTCCGGTCGAGAGACGGAAGTGCAATGGTCACTTGATCTCGTGATCTCCTTAACTTCCCTGATCTCTCTAGCAATGACCTATATTCCATAACGAAAAGCTCTTCCGAACAATTGCCATGAAAGTATTTACAGAAAAGACACAGAGGAAACCATACGTCGGTGAGAAAGTGACTGAAGCCGAGCCACCAGATCAGGACCAATAATATTGCAGATTCTTTTTTGATTTTTATCAAGGAGCTCGAGGTAAATAGCAGGGGCAATATGACAGCAATATTCTAAGCATGGACGATTGTTTTTTAAGCGTTTCACCTCAAGCAAGGCAGTAAGCGACTAGCACGCAAGGGGTAACATAAGATTTGGAACGAGAGCAAATAGGAGTGATAGAGGAAAGGATGAAGAGAAGGATAGGGGATAGATCAAGCCATCTGGAGACGTCGATTGACATTACATTTGAATTTGGAGAAATAGTATCAGGGGAACAGGAAGGAGGGAGTTCCATAGGCGAGAAGGCGAGACATGAAGCTATTGGAGTAGAAGAGACAGCTACATTTAACAGGACAGTGAAAGGGTGAGAGCGAGATGCCAGCCAGTTGAAGCTTAAATTTGAAGTCTGGGAAAGCAGCTCATCGGAGCAGTTACCATGAAAGTATTTTAAAAAAAAAGACAGAGGGAAACGGGTCTGTGAGAGAGAGACTGCAGACGAGACACCAGATCAGGGCCAATTACAATCCGTCTTGGATTTTATCTAGGACTTGAGACAAATAGATGGGGCCTGGACCATATATGGCAGCAATACTCCATGCTGGGGGCTCGGTTGATTTGTAGAGTTTTTACAACACTTACAGCAAAATGTATTTAAATCAACAAAAGAAAGAGCGAGATGCCAGCCCAGTTGAACGCTTAAATTCATGAAGTCTGGGAAAGCAGCTCATCGGAGCAGTTACCATGAAAGTATTTGTAAAAAAGACAGAGGGAGGCAACGGCACGTCTGTGAGAGAGCGACTGCAGACGAGATGCCAGATCAGGGCCAATTACATTGCATATCCGTCTTTGGATTTTATCTAGGACTTGAGACAAATAGATGGGGCCCCGGACCATATATGGCAGCAATACTCCATGCAAGGGCTAACGGTTGATTTGTAGAGTTTTTACAAACACTTACAGCAAAATGTATTTAAATCAACATTTTCGAGTATGAAATGAAAACCAAATTATAAAATGTAGTAAATTAAAACAGTTGTATTCATATTGATTTGTGTCATGACATTGAGTTCTAATAAAATCGAGGATGAAGGACGTTTTTTACAGACATTTTGTAGTTGGATTACTCAGTTCAGACCGACTCCTGGAATCACTACTGATGTATATCAAACTCTGCTCTAGAAAGATCGATAACAGCTACTTGACTTGAGAAACTTCTTTTCATGAAAAACTGTTTTCAGAGAAAGATCTTATAAATTTCAATCGAAAACAGCACTAGCTGCTCTGTCATTAAATGCGAAATGTTTCCTTATAGGGAAACGGCTAATATTATCATTAAAGTTACTTTTTATGCTTAATTTATTTAAAAAAAATAGTTTTAAATTAATAAATTAATGAAAATGATTAATTTTGATCAAACGTATTATTTGCTTACTCCATTTCCAAGAGACGCCACTGTCTTTAAAAGTTCTTTGTCAGAAATTAAAGTTTATACATGTGAGAAAATACGCATAGAGTTGAACTTAATAATCTCACAGGACGCTGATAGTGAGTTTCATTTTCATTTGTTTTCTTTGGAACCATCTTGTCTCCAGTCTAAATAAAAAATCTCCTCCGATTAGGCTTTCATGATGAAATAATACAATTCTATGTTTTATACAATGTTTAATCATTGCAACGAAAAAACGTTTTATTGCTTTATTTTCAAGTGATATTCCTAAAAAAAAAAGAAAAGTAAATCCAGTAATATAAAGGATTTATTTTTGCTTGTTGTTGCTATTTTTTTTATTGATCTCGACGTTTTTTTTTTCTTAACTCTGAACAACTTTTAACGAGAAAAACCAGCAAAGAAAATCAAATTTGTGACTGCTGAAGTTAACTTCCTACTAAAACTCTTGAAATTTACACAATTGCAATTTGTTTTTTGTCTCCAGACCAATATGGAAAAAGAGAAATAAAATTAGTATATTATGGGTTCATCTTTCTTCTCAGGAATTATTGTAAGAGTTTTGCAAGGTCTATTGCTATCCATGGCTAATGAGTTCATTGTATTGCTTAACGAGATCAGCTCTTAGCCTTCAAAGAATCAGCCCTGCAGTTTTCAGCGTTCAAAGAACCAGCTCTTCGAATCTTAGCCTTCAAAGGATCAGCGCTTCAGTTCTTAGCTTTCAAAGAATCAGCTCTTCAGTTCTTAGGCTTCAAAGGACCAGCTCTTCAGTTCTTAGGCTTCAAAGGACCAGCTTTTCAGTTCTTAGCCTTCAAAGGATCAGATGTTCAGTCCTTAGCCTTCAAAGGACCAGCTCTTCAGTCCTTAGCCTTCAAAGGATTAGCTCTTCAGTTCCTTCTCTTCAAAGAATCAGCGTTTCAGTTCTTAGCCTTCAAAGGATCAGCTCTTCAGTTCCTTGTCTTCCAAGGATCAACATTTCAGTTCTTAGCCTTCAAAGAATCAACTCTTCAGTTTTTAGCCTTCAAAGGATCAGCTCTTCAGTTCTTTGTCTTCAAAAGATCAGCTTTTCAATTCTTAGCCTTCAAAGAGTAATTCTTATAATCATAACTAACTGTTAAATAAATAAGCTGAAGCCTAATTCAGCAGAAAAAAATTCAATAGAGTTCCGGGCTATTGTCCTTTCCTCTATCACTCCTCTTTGCTCTCGCTCCAACTCTCTGTAACCCCTTGCGTGCTGGTGGTTTCCCGCCTTGCTTGGGTTGAAACGCTTAAAAAAATAATTATAACACAAACTGTAATGATAATATTAGCGGTTTCCCGACAAGGAAGCATTTGGAATTCTTTTGACGGAGCGGCTTTGAAATTAATAAAATCTTTGTCTTAAAACAATCTTTCATGAAAACAGGTTTCTCAAGTCAAGTAGCCGTTATCGCTCTTTCCAGTATTGATGGAGGTTTCATTCCGGACCTTCTGTTTGAATTGGTGTGGAAAATTAACATCGCGATTATGTCATTATTTTCTCTTTAAGTTACGTGTGTTCTTCATTTTAATTATTTCTGCTGCTAATGGAAGTCTTCAAGTGATGTAGATTCTGTTATTTGGCACGGTTCTTTGTCCTTCTGTAGCGCTTCGTTCACAATGTCCAAAGGGTAACATAAAATATTTTAAAATATAGTTCAAGTGAATTCCTCTAACAACGAATCGGGAGCGGTCGATACTGACAGCTAATTTTCCGAGAATTTTATCGTGAAAAAAAATGATTGAAAATTGAATTTTGCGTATAACAAATACAGATTTTTAAAGGTAAGTTTACCACAGTCTCTGGCCACTTCTCTTGTCTTCAATATGTCCCGTAAGTGTCATATTCTCTTGAACATCTTTCTTCATCCTCTGCGCTATTACACTTTATCACCTCCCGTTGCTGTCCTCTCATTCAGCAATGGGTTGCTCCGGACACGAGAGTTTGGAAACTGTTCTGTTATTGTTAATTATAATATTTAAATTTAAATTAAAATATAAATCTCAAGAAACAAAAATCAGTATTTGTAAAATGTAAAAAAAAATACCTTTAATTTTGTCAGGTAAAATTAAATTTACTGGTTAATTAATATCAAATTCAAGAAAATCACCATCTTAACTTAAACTAAAATTTATGAAGTGTAAATATGTTCAAGCATTATTCCTTTGCATTTATTTGCCTGAAATAAGGAGAGGAAATTAGACATAAGGCCATTTTAACACAGGGCCAACACACGTGTGTTATATGATGGTCCCCATTATGGATGAGGAGAGATTTTTTTGCACTAAGTATTATGTTCATTTCGTCCTTAGTTAAGTCAGAATATAAAGTAGCAAACTCCAGGGCAGTCGTGAAGAGATCTCTTGATGTTGACTGGTAATAATCCACAATATCGAACTGTATCAGGGTGCAATCAGGCTTATTGTCGATGTTGGTAAACCACCTGATCACTTTGGTATTAATCCAGAGTGTTAATCCAAAGCATTTTATGATTTGCTTCGTGATCCATTCTAGGATTCTTTTGCTTATCTTTCCTATGTCGAGTCTGGTTGGGTTTATCATTCTGGTAGTAGGGTCTTCCTCAAAATCCTGTTCGTGGTCCTTAAGAGTGATGTAGCATTTCTTTTCAGCTAGTTTGCCTACCCTATCGCTTATTTTTAATTTTTCAGTAATAATTTTACTAGTTCTGTTGATACTGTCTATCATATTAAAATTATTATGAGCTTTTTTTATAAGTCAGAGTTAATTTTTTTTAATTAATTTGTTGTATTCGTCTGCCGTCATTTTGTAGAAGTTTCCCGTTTTGTCGGACATAACTAGAATTTTATCGCTGTCGTTAATGCTTTTAACTATTTGGTCGAGATGTTTTTGGAAGTTGCTTTTTTTTTTTTTGAAAGGAGATGTTATATATATATATATATATATATATATATATATATATATATATATATATCTTTGTCTCTTTCTATTTATCTATCTATCTTAGTCTGTTTCTATCTATCTATCTATCTCTCTCTCTCTCTCTATATATATATATATATATATATATATATAGCTAGCTAGCTAGCTAATTTCCATCATTATCTATCTATCTATCTATCTATCTATCTATATATCTATCTATCTAATTACCTTCATTATCTATCTATCTATCTATCTATCTATCTATCTACGGGAAATTTTTGGCCGAGTCTACGGGCTCCGATACCCCACAATAAAACTCGGCCTTGTGCCACATCCGACCGCGTGGAGCGGTTAGTGAATATCGTCATTTGGATTCACTTGGGTTTCACATGGATTCACTTCTAGCTCACTACTAGCAGTTGAATACTTACGACACGCTGCTGGCGAATCTTGTATGCTGTTCCTGTTATAAATATTATCGTTCCATTTACAACCTTCGTTTTGGTTATTCTTATTCAGTTACCTTTTCCTAGGTTACAACTCTATCTATTTATCTATCTAGGCCAGTCTAATCATAGCTATCTATCTTGTCAGTCTAATCATATATATCTATCTAGTTCAGTCTAATCATAGCTATCTTGTCAGTCTAATCATATATATCTATCTAGTTCAGTCTAATCATAGCTATCTATCTTGTCAGTCTAATCATATATATCTATCTAGTTCAGTCTAATCATATCTATCTTGTCAGTCTAATCATATATATCTATCTAGTTCAGTCTAATCATATCTATCTATCTATCTATCTATCTATCTATCTATCTATCTATCTATCTATCTATCTAGTTCATTCCAATCATACCTATCTATCAATCTATCACCTGATGGTCAATATACAACCCAGCCATTTCATTTTATTTAACCAATTTCACTCACAAAACTTGGTGTGGTTTTCAGCAACGTCTATCTCGCACGCCGCAATCAACTTCACAGGACCATATTATCAGTGCAACACATCTCTATCTATAAAAGCCAGGATGTGTGCGTGTGTGTAATGAATGCACGGCCGCAATTTTCGACGGATTTGCACCAAAATTTACATGCACATGCTCCAAGTTAGCGGGAAGGCCAAGACCGACTTTGCATTTTCCAACTCCCATCGATAGTAGAAATAATCGATTTTTCATGCTTCTACAGCAATTTCATGTAGTTTGCGGCCATTTTCTACTGGCCAGAGTGAGAACCTATCGCTGGCTGCCGCGAATAGGCAGGAAGATTCTATTGGCCAGCGTGAGAGCCAACAGCTCACTGACAAATGTTAACTAGCATGCAAAAAATCGATAGTTGCATTCGTCACAAGTGTTAAAAATTTAAATCTGCATGGCACTTTACTCCAGTTAGCTCATTCGCTTGCTTAAACTAAACGTTGATTCTGATTCCGCAGAACTGGGTTGGTTGTGAAAAAGTATTTGTTGTTAACATTCTTTTTTCATTCGGTTTTTCCAGTTACGAGTTCTTTTTTAAAGCTGATCGTTTTGTGTTCATTTTGTTTAGTTCTTTTTTATAGGCAAGATAGGCAAGAAGTAAGGCATGTAGCAACATTAACACGGCAAAGGCCGCTCCTTTAAAGGCAAGGAAGGGCAAAAATATTTTAAGTCAAGTGATAGCGATTGCTGTATGAGTCGTGCGATTTTTGAATCAAGCACGGGCAACGCCTGACCATGCTGCTATTACTTGATAAATGGGCCATAAACAGATTCGAACCAGAATCCTTTGGTCTTAAATCAAAAGTTCTGTCCACTCGGCTACGTGTACAACAAATGGTTACTCATTATTTTTTAATCTTTACAAATCCGAATCCTTAGGGAGATAGGCTTGATATAGAATTTTTAATTTTGAGTAAGTTTTATTTATTTATTTATATTTACACAAACGTAAAGATTCTTACAAATTAAAAATAATGCCAGGGGTTCCGATTAGCAAAGACTCAATAAAATCTCGACATATAACCAATGATTTCGAATTCCATTATCCAGGACGGATTATATATTTTAATTTGCCTTTGGTAAAATTTAAATCCGGATATATTGTTGAAACGGAAAGCGAGAAATCAATGATTTCACTGGACTACAATCTGAACAAACATCGAGTCAGCGTTTACTTGAGTTGGATTTAATTAAAATGCGCTAAACGAAGTATGGAAAGCCAGAAACATCATTAATAGAATTCAGATACGGAAGGCTAGATAGACAAAATATACAATTGTCAGCAATCTCTCTCTCTCTTTCTCTCTATCTATCTATATCAGTCTGTTCGTATGTATGTAAGTATGTAGGTAAGTATGTATGTATGTATGTATGTATGTGTCTATCGATTTATCTATCTCAATCTATCCGTATGTATGCATGTATATATCTCAGTCTGTTCACATCTATCTATCTATCTATCTATCTATCTATCTATCTATCTATCTATCTATCTGTACATTTCTATCTATCTATCTAGCTAGCTAGCTATCTTTTCAATCTGTTCATATTGTTCATATCTATCTATCTATCTATCTATCTATCTATCTATCTATCTATCTATCTTTTCAATCTGTTCATTATCTATCTATCTATCTATCTATCTATCTATCTATCTATCTATCTATCTATCTATCTCAGTCTATTTCTTATTCTCTTTCCCTCCTTTTCTCTTTCTCTCTATCTATTTATGATGAGAATCCAGCCGGTTGATTATATATATAACAATTTGGAAAAAAACAATACGAAGTATTTTATGTTGTCATGTTTCACCGATCAAGCATCGATTCATTGAAAGTGTCATAATCTACGAATTCCCTGTGGTCAAATAAGAACCCAGCCAATTACCTTTTAGTTTATCCTCCTCCCTTACTAAACTGGTGTTGAAACATACAGAGTTTGCATTAACATTATAAACAACTGAGATGAATTCAGCAAAATCTGATAAAAAGAAGTAAAAAGAAATCAATAATCATGTGTTAATATGCATAACAAAAACTACTTCCTGTTGCACTGAAAAACTACTTCCTGTTGCACTGAAATAGAATCCGTTCTTTGATGATGCTGTTTATTCAGTGAAGATGGTAAACTAGTAGGTTTTTTCTTTCTATCTATCTATCTATCTATCTATCTATCTATCTATCTATCTCGGCCTGTTAATATCTATCTATCTATCTATCTATCTATCTATCTATCTATCTATCTATCTATCTATCTAGTTCAGTCTAATCATTATCTATCTATCTATCTATCTATCTATCTATCTATCTATCTATCTATCTATCTCCGTCCTGGCTAAGACGACAAACTACATCCGGGTCTTGGGCAAGACAATAAACTACGTCCAACAGAAAATCCTCCAATCAGGAGGTTTTGAGGAGCGTAGAACCACCTCTTAATTGCTGGTGTTTCCGGGTCCACCCTGACCCGGGGTGGTAGCACCTGTTAGGGTCCAAACTATGGGTACCAAAATGGGGTCAAAATATTATGCAAATGTAAAAATAGGTTTTAATACCAGAAATGCTCTGTAAAATTATTTATTATCAGCAATACAGTTTTGAAAAAAAATATTACCGGGAATAAAAATTTTGTCGGTATTAAACAATCCAGTGAGGTTGATATGCCGTAAAACAAACCAAACCAAACCAAATCATCTGTCTCATTTCATTATCTATCTATCTATCTATCTATCTATCTATCTATCTCAGTCATTCCGTATATATTGGGTTGGTGTATAATTATCAGGCGTTTTTAAACAATAATTTTAATGAAAAAGAGACGTAACAATTCCACAATAAGATTTTTAAATTATTATTCCGGAGTGTATGATTATCGACACGTATTTTTATAACCTGGAAATAACATAATACTTTTATTAAACAAAGTAAACAAAACAGCAACTTTTACTAAAAAAATAACTCGCCTACAAAAACGCCTGATAATTATGCACCAACCCAATATATATATATATATATATATATATATATATATATATATATATGCCTCCATGTGTATTCGTATTATCTATACATCTATCTTTGTCTTTCGGTATGTATGTATGTCTGTACGCATATTTCTATGTATGGCTGTATGTATCTATCTCTATTTTTTTTATATTTATCTATCCATTTTTTTTTATCCTTTCCCATATTTGAGCGGGAGCTGCTCTGTCCTCACTTTCCAGTCTTGATATAGTTCAAAAGTGTCGACGAGTCATTAATAGAGAAGAACTATTTTTCACCCTCCAAACTCTCTCCCCCAGCTGGGATATGGCGAGCCTTTCGCTGCTTTGTCGCTACTTCCACTGTAAGTGCTCGGACAAGCTACATTCATAGATCTGGCCAGTTCTAACCCTCATGTCTTGGACCCACAATGCCACTTACATAACAGAAAACCACCCAAATTCCCTGCATATTCAATTGGCCTGAAGTCAGTTCGATTCAATCAGCTTCTCCCCGCGAACCACTGTTCTGTGAAACAGACCCGCTAAGAGGACGTTTCGTCGATCACTACAATCTTAACCTGTTCAAGACTAGAGTTTCCGTCATGTTCCGTTCCTATCCACATAGCGTAACCCTCTACCCCTTACCATTACCTCGTGTAGCCCCTGGGACCTGTACAGGGTCCATTTTACTGTAAAAATCTTTATACCGGGTGAAACAGCAAAATTTTCCAAATCGCGCAAAACTGTCCATTTGTTAGATTACAGTTAGGACCGTTGGATAATAGAAATGATTAAAGATATCTTACTGGAATTCTCCGAGATTTTTATAACACTATTGGGCTCTACTTTGAGCAACAATTACTCTTCAATAACAAAAGAATCGCGATGAAATTGATTATAAACGAAAAAGACATGGTTATCATTAATTAATCATAGCTAAGGATCGGAAGCACATGAACGATTGAAATAAAATTCATATATATATATATATATATATATATATATATATATATATATATATTGTATTCCTGATCAATCAAAATTCGTAAATAATTATATAGGCCACACTGCAACATGTTTGACACGAAGACGCACTCTACACCTTTCTTACATAGCTCAATTAGATCTCATTTAAATATTCAAGGAGACCTGCCGGACACTATTCGTAACATACTTGTTAACCACACTAATATAATAGCATCATATACATGAAAAAAAAAAGGCTAAAAATAATGGAAGCCTTATTAATAAAAGCCCAAAAAAAAACAACACTTAATAATATTAACTTTGAACAGGGACATAATATCTTGACCGTGTTTTGAAAAATGAAAACATTTTATGAGACATACATACAACAAACTATTTCTTATTTGAACAGTTAAAATATAATCCTTGAAAATGGCTAAATATATAGCCGAAAATGCGCGGACAAAAAGAACATTAGGACAGTTTTTTTATATAATTTATCACCCGAAAAGAAAAATCATTAGATCGCATGAGAAATTGTATAAAAACTAAATAAAAGCGCCTTGTCTGTCGTTTTCAATGATATATATATATATATATATATATATATATATATATATATATATATATATATATATATTATCAAGGATCATTTTTCAACTTATTCAAGATTACGTTTACACTCTTTAAGTTTCTGTCGTGGAGTAAAAATGTGCCTCATACGTTTCACGTACAATTATATTTTCAAGTCTTTTTTCACTGCCCTTTGGACTGTCATAGCTGAAACTTCTCTCACATATGTCAAATGTCTAATGGCTTGAGTTGGAATTTTTCTCATTGATTGCTTTAGCTCTAAGCAGAAATGATGATCCCTCTTCCTATTTTTGTAGTGATTTTCTAACACATTTATCATATTTATGTCATAATTTTCGAATAAATTATATATATATATATATATATATATATATATATATATATATATATATATATATATATAAATGTATATATATATATATATATATATATTTAAAAGTTTTAGCATAAATATGTTTTAAATCACTACAAAAATAGACATTTTGTTTCAACATTATTGGTATCTTGTCAAGTGATTAAGTGAAACAAAATGGCTATTTTTATAACATACTTACGTTATAATTTTTTAAATAAATATTGTTCACTATACATTTGAGCACTTTTTTAAAATAGTGTTTTTGTATTCGTATTTTATCTACCTTATTCGGACTATTGCCCTCATCGTTGTCGCCATATTTATTACAACGTTTCGGCCGTTGGACGCTCCGGCCTTCTTCAGGTGGTTGGAATGTCGAACTGAACCCTTTATTTCGCTCACTGAAGTAGACTATTCTAGTGCCACGTGCCATGTCTAATGGATGACATCAGTTATCTCTTCACGTTCTCCACCGCTTTAGCCAGGTATTGAACCCACACTCTTTGGGTCCTGTCACTGGATTTAACTGACGCCTTTATCCACTGTGCCATGTGTCCATATATATATATATATAGACTGAACTACATAGATAAATAGATTGATTGATTTATTTGGGATTGTAGGATTAATACTTTACGAGTGAATATTGCATAATAATTTTGGAGATAACGAATATATTTCTAGATACAAGTTCCAGTATTTTTATCCCATAACTGAATGCAGAAGAGATGGATTTGTGTTTAAGTGTTTGTACCAAAACCGTCTTGGCCCTCCATGTTGACATTCCGAGCAAATATCCGTTAGACCACTAGCGCCCTTCACCTATGTTTATCTTTTTGCATTTTTTAATATATAACTCATTTGAAAAATAATATCTGAGAATTAAGCGCAGAAGACAGTTGCATGTAACTGAATTGTGACAAACATTGAAAACTACATCCAGTGACACTTATCTTCTTATTGCTGGACGTTTATAGAAACCAAACAATGGACATGAGAACAGCTAGGGGATGGTTAATGCTTTACTCCGGTCGAAACAATAATGTCCGCAAGAACACAAACTTCTGGCGACGTTGCTCAGCGATCAGTTCACAAAATAAAGAACGCCAGAAAAATGTTTTTCTAATGGCGGTAAATATAAGAAAATTAATGTTTTTTTACCTGAAAAGTTGATATATCTAACGTTGTTATTGTGGTCCATGTATCAGTAGTTGTTTCCGTAAAATTAAGAGGGTACCATTACTTTCGGATTAAGAGGGTACCATTACTTTCGGATTAAGAGGGTACCATTACTTTCGGATTAAGAGGGTACCATTACTTTCGGATTAAGAGGGTACCATTACTTTCGGATTAAGAGGGTACCATTACTTTCCATGTATATACATACTTAGTGATCAAAGGATTTAATCAGCGAGTATGTTTTTTTTTTCTGCTGAAAGCAAAATTCAATACAACTGAATGGTTTTTGGTTTTAAAAGGAATGAATTAGAATCCATTTGTCCATCAGAAGTGTCAAATTGCTGTTTGATATGCAAGAATAACTCTGCTAACGCTTATAATCGAATGATTCCCCTGACGAAATTTTCTCTTCTGAGTCACGCTAGGTATCCTTTAAAATGGACATTTTAG